TGGGCATGACTTTCTTGTTGTTGTTTACATCGTTTGCCTAATAATTTGGGAATTGAAGAAGAGGAAGTTTTTTTCTGAATGTAATGAATCTTGCGAAAATAAGTGCCTAACGTGTTTCTTAATTGAGAGTAACTCATGGAGACGTTTTCTGATGCAAACAAGGTGGTCACATCAGAAGCATCATTCTCGTTTCAATAATTTCATCACGTGACGTAACTCCCTCCCCCTGGCCTGGGAAGTGGTTGGCGAGTCAGTTTAGTGGTCCTTCCCCAGCGTCGGTCCTTAGGTTGCATGTAGATTAGGAATATCCCCGAGATGAGGGGCGTGATTGTTGTTGATACGTTCATAGTGATGAATTGGAATCATGCCTGAGCCCAGGTCGGTTTCCCCACAAAGCCTGATTCCAGACTGCCACAGCATCGGTCTCTTGGAGCACCCTACCCCACCTCAATGTCCCAGTTCAATCAAAGACACTTGGGTGGAAGATATGTGACTTCATCTCTTCCATAGGTCGAGGCAGAATCAAGCAGGTGGACAGAAACAGCAGCGGCACACCAAGACCAGGCAAGCGTCAGGCACCGAACTTCCTGAGTGACCAGCCGTCCTGATTCACCCAGAGATGAGGGCTTTGAGAGGATGGGGGACTTTCCGTGATATAACTGGGGCAGTTTGGGAAATCCAGGAGGAGTTGGTGACTCTAGTCCTCACCTTGTTAACCAGCAGAGTGAGTTACTTAATGCACTGACTGCACAGTTACTGTTTTCTCTTCCTCCCTCCTTCCCTCCCTCCGTCTACCTTCCTCTCTCCCCGCGTCCCGTCTCCTCCTCTCTCCCTTCTTCTTCCTCCTCTGCCTTGCCTTCCTCTTGTACCAGTGGTGCCCGTCCACCATCATTAAGAAGAAGATGTTGGGTCTGAGTGGAGAAGACCGTAGGCCGTAGATGATGCCTGAAAAAGGCCAGCCATTTATCTCAGACCTTCCTGTGTTTCTACCCACCACATCGGCATCTCTATGCCTAACGGCTGTTTTCATGCCACAGCAGAATGTCACGCTGCCTGGTGCGTGACCCGCTGACAGGAACGCTCAACCGATGCTTCTGGAGAGTTGGTTTATAAAGACTGCAGATCCCTTGTTGCTGAATTAGGAGAAGCCCAATGAGTGTGTTACATCATTTCTGATATATCTCTCAGGCTTAAGCTTCACTTGCAAGCTGGCACGCTGGACTCCTTGTGCCTCTTCCCTGTGTCACTTTCGCACGCTCCAGCCAGTGGGATCGGCCCTCGCCGGAGAAACAACATGCCTGGATGCTGTTCTTCGGAGTAGCTGCTGGGAGATACCAAACTCCGACATGACTTTACGCATCTCAGTCTTGATTTCCTCATCCCTGCAATGGGAACCTTGATGGCCGTGTTGAAAATTACCTCACGAACTCAAGAAAATGTACGTGAAGCATTGGGCCAATCCTGAGCAAGTCGGAAGCAACCCAGGTCGTGTCTGGGGTGCCTCCTCATCAGGCAAAGCCCCAGGTCCTGAGGACCGGCAGGAGGCGTGTTTGGTCTTGGCAGGCTGTCCAGAGCCTCCCGGGGAGCTGGTCTTCAACGTTGACGTGTGTCCCGGGGCAGGAGCCTTCCTCGCTCATCAGAGGTCCCTCCACCGCTCCCGGGCGGAGACTCAGGCCCTACGTTTGCTCTTCCTCTCAGAGCCTGAATCCGGACTCACATCCCTGAGCGCCGAGGCAGCATCATGCATTAGTTGAGGACCAGAAGCGCCAGCCTCTGGCTACCGTGAGTCCTGCGAATGCCCACGCTCTTTCCTCTTTCTTCTTCCTCACTTGGCCTCCCCGTGCCCTCCGCCCATTGCCGCCTTAGCTCCGCTCCCAGAGCGGCACATTGACTTCCCTGGAACGCTTCACACTTCCTTCCCCAAACGCTGGAGGTTGTTTGGTTCCCGGAGATGGTTCAGAGGCCATGGATGACTCCCAAGTCATCCTACACGCCCAGTGCACGGGCTGTCGGCCCTAAGGTCGTCCTTCCTTCCTTTTCTTGGTAACACGTTGATCACGACGCCAAATCGCCTCGCAGGTGGGGAGCCTGAGGTGTTTGGCAGAAAACTGCTTGATACCTCCGTACCCTGCCAGTGGGTCCTGAGGACCACGAGGCCCAACCAGAAGGGGGCTTCCATGACCCAACGGGCCATGCGTGAGCAGCTGCGGCCCTCAGTCGTGAGGCCACGGCAGGCTCACCTCTCTGTGATGCAGAGGAGTGCATGAGGGGCTGGACGGCCCTCGAGGAAACGCAAAGGTCCCTGTGTTCCTAAGAGCTCTGAAGGGCAGGGCCCGCTGCCCTCCCATGGGGCTGGGGGTCACTGAGTGGTAGGACCCGGGTATCTACCACCTGGTCCCCGATATCGCCGGCCCCCACAGGACAATAGGACTTCCGTGGTCCTCAAAGACACTCACAGGAACTTCTTGCTGGTGCTCAGGCCCAGGGCGGTGCCTACGGGCCTGCAGATGGGAACGGGAGTGCCCTTCAGCAAGGGCAGGAGTTGCAGCCCGGCATCCAAGTGTGTCCCTGTCAGCTCTGTGACAAGAAGTCCCAAGATTTCCTCATCCGCAAATGGAGATATGAATCTGTGCGGAGTCTAGGAGGCCCCAAAAGGATACTGTATGTGGTATGTGACCTGTACCTAAATCGTTGCATCGCGGATGCCGTACAAGGACACGGACACCATACGGGATGCAGATGAGCACAGGGTTTACCAGGAAATTCATGTGAGATTCCCGGTGTCTGGGGAGACATTCAAAAGGATCGTGACAGGAAGAAATCAGCATTTCTGTGAGCGCAGCGAGAAAGAAAACATAGTTGTGCAGACATTAATCGTTGCAAAAATATGTATCAAGCAAGAGGATTTATTTCTCAAAGGTAGGTAGGATGAAGATCTTGACTCCGGAGTCAAAGCAGAGATCTTGACCCCTCTTGACTCCGTAGTATCTGGAGGCATGCAGCTGGCAGGGTCTCACGGGACCTAAGGAAGAAGAGAATCAGGAAAAGTGGTCCCCACTTCCTCAAGCTGATTCACAAGCTTTTGAACAGGCAGATGAGTAACAGAAATGTTGGCGACTGCATGCTGGCTTTCAGTAGCATTTGGCAGTGTCCTTGTTTCCCAAATGGCACATCAGTGCTGTGTGCAGATGGTGGTTCTTGGTGAGGCAGTCAGCAGTAGGAAGGCTGGCAGCGGCCGGACATGCAGCAGGGGTGGCAGCAGGTGGTCCTCCGGCAGGGGGCATGGCAGCAGTTTGGCTGGCAACCAGGCTAGCAGCAGCTGGATCCACAGCCCTGGGCTAGGCATCCAGGCAAGCAGCAGCAGGTGGGGAAGTAGCAGGTTCTCCTGCAGTACACGGGGGTACAGCAGGCTGGCTGACAGCAGCTGGACCCACAGCAAGTTGGCCCACAGCCACTGGACCCACAGCAGCTGGGTTGACAGCAGCTGGAGACACAGCAGCTGGGCCGGCAGCAGGTGGTCCTGCAGCAGGTGGTCTGACAGCAAGTGGGGCGGCAGCAGCAAGGCTGGCAGCAGCTGGACCCGCAGCAGCTGGACCCG